GAACCCTTTATTTTGCTCACTGGAGTAGACTGTTCTTGCTCCGCGTGCCATGTTTCAATGGATGTCAGTTATCAGTTATCTCCTGTTAATTGCCCTCTCCAACTTCTCCACTGCCTTAACCTGGTATTGAATTCACACTCTTTGGGTCCTGTTACTGTGACACTAGCAGTGGTTTACATATTTCGCACTGCTGGCGAGTATTGTATTTTGTTGATGTTATAAAGATTATCATTTCATTTCCAAACTCCATTTTCGTTATTCCTCATTCAGTAATCTCTTCTAGGTTGCAAAAAGAACCATATCTTTGTTGGCACCATTTTCCGCTTCATCATTGGTGAGATTGTCTAGCATTCGATGCCATACAAGAAGATGGATACCACATCGCAATTCAACTCTGTTTGCCGTGTTTATAACGAAATGTTCAGATTTATTGTTACATTGTTTATCTTACAATAGTGTCCAACGTATTTAGGAAGATTTGGGACGTACACATGTGTGTTCATAGGTACGGTATATAACAGTTATAAAGAAGGATACTGAGAATTCCATGTACGGAGCGAGGAAACAACGAAGATATCATAAAGAAACGCTAACAAAATAAAATTTCTTTACATTGTTCGGACTGTTTTCCTCACGTTTATAGCATATTCACGACGTTTTTGCCGTTGTACGCTCCGGGCTTCTTCAGGTGAGATAATTTCGAAATAAACCCTTTATTTCATTTACCGGGTTAGATTGTTCTAGAAAGGACTCAGTTCGAAATTCCAATCACCTGAAGAAGGCCGGAGTGTTCAATGACCGAAACGTCGTGAATATAGCAATAAATATGAGGACAACAGTCCGAACAATGTAAATAAGTACAATAGCACATCTCAGAAATATCGACAAAATATCATCTATACTCAAAATCCCAAAATAAAGAGAGTTCAAATTTCTTGGATACATAATAAGGAAAGATGACTTGGAAAACTCTCAAGGTCATTGTTGCGGGGGTGCAAAAGATGTAGGAGAAAGAAACAGGTAAGGAAACTGACGAGTTTGTGTGAATAGATGACAGAACGGAGTATGGGTGACTTGTCAAAGGAAGAAACGCTGCTGAGGGCCAGAAGGGGTTCGATGATGTGGAGAGACATGCGCACTAACATCTTGAAGAGACACGACACAAAAAAGAATTCATGTGAATTTCAGGAGGTGTAATGAGAAAAGAAAAGCAGTTACCTTTTAAGAAGTAAATTTTATAGTTATTTTGGAAAGTGTCGGTAATTCTTTTTATAAATAATAATATCATGAGTTGTTATTACATGTTGCTGTCACATGAGACGGTGTGCTTATTGATGCATTGAAATTATAACATAATTTTTTCTTTCCACTCCCTATAAATCATGAATCATGTGAGTCGAAACCTTAGATTATATGTATAATGATAATTAATTTAACTATATATTAATTAAATATATATATATATATATATATATATATATATTATAACCCTACCAAGTAAAAATATACAAGGATAAACTTAGTAATACTGATGAAAATCAAAAAATATATATAGGATCTACCCTTAAAAAAAAAATAACAAAAAAACCGATATTATAACCATCTTAGTAGTTTTACTGTCTTACTGATTTTGTTTTTTTCTTTACATGGTCATGTTTTAGGCTATTTTTATTCTGTTCTAATGTTACAGTATACTCTTATATTTTGGCCGGCGTGCTGGACGATCCAGGCGTGGTAGGTGAAACCTAGGTATTTTTTTTTTTTTTTTTTTTTTCTCCTTTAGGTTCGCGTTACATAGACAAATTTGCTCTGCTTCTCTTATCAATGTGTTGTTTTGCACTTTCCAAATTACCTATTACCACTGGTATTAGTTATTTATACGTTACTTTCGTATTTGGAGTTTTTTTCTTTAGACTCTGATTTTGGGTTCTAGTCGATTTTTTTCGCCTGAATTACATGTTCTTAGTTCTTTCTTTTTTTAGTCCTTATTTTTCCTTGAGTATTGGATTTTTGTTCATTTACAATTGTTCTTGGTATTTGTCACAGAAAACACATAAGGTTTTTCCAGACGAGTGCAAAGAATAAAGCCTTCAGTTTAGATTTATATTTATAAGATTATTATTATTATTATTATTATTATTATTTTTATATCTTTTGCTGCAAAACGCTCTCTTCTGTTACTAAATGTAAAAATGCCTTCTTTTATTATTGAATAAAAGCATTAGGCTATATGACGGTTCCGTTTAGGATACAGGTTCAATTCCTGTATTTGACAATTCCTCGGACATTTAGGACGGTAAATGATGTTAATACAGTTTATAAAAAAGAATGTAAAAATGTCTTAAAATAATTGTCGAACTTTGTCCATTTCATAATATATATATATATATATATATATATATACATAAGCTATTTGCATTCTGTCTTGTTAAGTTGGCTGGTTAATGCTGAATTAATAAAATTGTCATTACATTAATTCCAGCTTTATTGTGAGAATAAATCTAATATCGATTTTACAATAAAATGTTTTGGAAATTATTTCAATTTAAAAATGCACTAAAACTCAGAAATGGATCGATGAACAGTGACCATAAACCCATTCAACTGCTACTAATAGGAAAGGGTTATGTTGTGTATAAGAAAAAAATATTACTAATGGTTTTAATCTCGAAAGTCGGTGAATTTTTTCACGAATTTCGTTGAAAATGACGAAGAAATGAATAACAAATATATAGGATTTAAGGTGCATGTTACTGAGAGAATCTGATAATTATATATTGAATATTATCGCTGGCAAATATTTTAATGTAAAATAGAATCTATTTTCCTTGTAGATATTCATCAATAAGTAGAGAAAATAAAAGAATCACCATTAAGAAATACAAAGATTTAATGTTGCCATTCTTTTACTTTTATCGTTTTTTTACTCCATTTCAACCAATAAAAGGCCTGAGAGTCACTCAAGGTAGATGTTTGGAAATGAGGTGAAAGCAAATGGAAGAAATAAATGGAGATTATAAATATACGAAAGATAGATAAGGATTGACTCTAGATTGAAGAGGTTAATATTTCAGTAACCAATGAAGCATCCACTTGGATGTCTGTCCCACAAATTAGCAGCAGTTGGGTAGAAGCTTTCTTGGTGGAGTAACTTTTTAGCAATAAAGGGAATAATGAAGGTCCACCCCTGTGAACGTAGGTTAACTCGATTAAGATGTAAAGGTCTGAACTGGTGATATTAAAGAATGGAGATTGTCTGAACATCTGTCATGGAATGTGAGAGATTAGCGATCTGTTTGTGAGGTTGTGTGTGTGTGTGGAAAAAGGATTGTACGGTAGAAAGTGTCATCACTGACAAGGCTGCACAAACGACTTTGAAATCTGTCAATGCAGAAAAGTGAGGTGAGGAATAAATTTCAACATTACAAGTAGAATATGACTATTATATGTATTGTTATAAATAATAATGCTTCTTTGTTTAAATTTGGGGTCGAACTGTAAATGGATTTGATCTCTTTTGAAATTAATCGATAAATAACGAAAATCTCATAAAGTGTTTAATTTACTGACTTAATCTGCGTGAGAACATTACATTTTCTTGCAGAGAAATGCCTTCCAGAATTTGGAGGAAGAACCGTAACACAATCCCAAATAGAGTGTTATCGTAAATTACCAAGAGAAAAACCGTCCATCAACTTTGTGGATACTGTTTACCAAAACAGACGAAGAAAATGACGAACACTTTCATTAATCAGTTGCGTCAAATCTTTATTTTTCTCTTTTTTTTTAACGATTAGCACATATTTGTTTAATTTTATTTTTTCTATAATTGCAATGATTGTAGTTTAGTCGACATGAAATAAAAATCAATGAACAAAATCACAAATGAATGGTTTTCGATTAATCACATTACCAGACTGATACCCGTTTTTTTGGTTTTGTTTTCTTTGACCGATCAGATTGATTTGTCATAATGAGGAAGGACACCGCTGAAGAATATAGACAAAATATTTACAAGCCTTGTAATTTAAAGCAGTTGATCTAAAAAAAAACTTCTTCATGTTTTTCATTTTTTCTATGCGCTGTCTCACTTCAGCAAGTAGGCGATTATGATTATGACTCTCCACAACATTTTATTCTTTGTAGATCATCAATCCTTTTTTATTATTATAGTTCTCCCATTTCCTGTTCCCCCATCCATTTACACATGTTAGTTGCGTAGGTCACTCGATGTTTCTTTCTGTTCTCATTCCCATATCCTCTCAATGTCTGTTTATCTAACAGTGCTCTATTCATTATATGTTATAAAATATATCAACTGTCTCTCCTTGATTCTAAGTATAAATGTATTTTTGTTACCAGGTTTTCTTTCCGTCTATATACTTCTCAGCATCGTTCTGTAGAATCACAACTCAATGGCCCCTTCTATTCATCCTTGAGGAAATCATTCATCATTCACTGTCATTTATGGACAATTGCCATTATAAAGTAACTCAGTGGTATTTGCTTGTATTCTAACGATATTTTCCCGTTACTTAATACTTTGTTTAGTTTTTGGAAGGCAACGTTATTTAGTCCAATGTGCATTCGCATTTCGTTGTCAAGTTTGCAGTCGTATATAAAAATATATGAAAAAAGAATATCCTCTTGTCAAGTAAATCCTCCTAAGAGTAAGCTTAGTTATTATATTTTGAAATTACTTTAATAGTTTTAAATATATTCCTATAATAATGAATAAGAAGTATTACTTATTTTATCGAAAAAAAAAACGAATAAAATAAAAATTATAAACAACTGCTCTCTTATTAAACTATGTCTCTTCAGGATGTACTGGTTATGGCTCTTCACAGCTGCCTTTCTTTTAATATATGTAAACTCTCTATTATTATGATTGTTCATGTGAAAGAACTAAGATAATTAAGACGTCGACGTTGAACTTAAGATAATCTAGGAGGTAAACAAATATTTCACAAATAGCTGGTGGAAAAGAGGGGGAAAAGATGATATCATACGTTTCGAAATGGCAACATTGGGAAGTCAACTCATACGCCTCGACCGGAATCACTTTATCGAAACAGGGACGTCGTGAGGTCAATTCATCCGCCTCCACCGGAATTACTTTTGAAAACGGTGACATCGCGAGATCAACTCATACACCTCGACCGGAATTATTTTTCGAAACGGCGGAAACATCGCGAGGTCAGCTCGTCCACCTGGAACGGAATGACTTTTCGAACCGGCCATATCTCCAGGTCAGCTCATCCTCGTGGAACGGAAATACAATTCGAAACGGCGATATCGCGAGGTCAGCTCATTCGACTCGAGCGGAACTACCTTTCGAAACGGCGACATCGTGAGGTCAACTGATCCGCCTCCACAGGAATTAGTTTTGGAAACGGCAGTATCGCAAGGTCAATTCATCCGCATCGACCCTTTGCGATGGCGACATTGCGAAGCCAACTTATCCGCCTCAAGTACAATTACTTTTCGAAATAGATACATCGTGGGGTCAAATCCACCTTGAGCGGAATTACCTTTCGAAATGTCGACATGGCGGGATCAACTCATCCGCTTTAACCGGAATTAAAAATCTATGTGCCGATTACATTTTCCATATTGGTAATCATTACGATATGCACACAATCTAATTAATTCGTTATTGATTTATTTTAAATAAAACACGATTTCTCTTCATTGAATTTTTTAAAAATTACATGGATATTTTTTAGTAAATTTTCCAAATGAAAAATACTGATTTCTTACTGATCTACCACCAAAAGTCCATATCATGGATATTGCCGTTACAAGATTTTCGCTCTTAGTATCCTGCTACTACTTTTGTAATCAGTCCCAGTTTTTGTGCAAATCTATGCAAAAAGCCAATCACAGAGCATATTCAGCTTCATACATATTTTCAGAAAGCCTCAAATTCTGATCGGTCACTTAATATTTAAATCATATTCTCAACTACGACCGAATAAGAACGACCCAGTTCTTAACCTGACTAAGAAATAATTCCGCCCAAAATCTGTCAACGCCTTTCTAGCCTGTCACATTATTACTTTGATTATAAACACCAGACACAAGTTTGTTCTTCCTTCTCTTTCTTGATTTCATTCGCTTACGAAAAATGTAGTTGTAAATAAAATCACATCTCGACCCCTTACTGGAGGACGCCATGAAAATACATTCACACACGCACACATATACGTACGTACAAAACTTTTGAAACTTCATTACGAACATTACCAATTAACATATTACGAATGTTCAACTGCAAGCAACGAAACGTAACTACATAACATTACACGCAATGGAAACTTTATCACAAACATTACGGACCATGAACTGCTTTACAGAATACTTTAAACTTTCTCACAGTGGATATTTTAGCGGCAATTTCGTTCAACCTTTTATGAGTACAGATAAAATGTATTCCATTAGTACAAACTTTAATTCCAGTCAAAGGGAAGTAACTCCGATGCTTGTGCATCATTATACGAATATAAATATAAGTCTTGTTGTTATAAAACCGTTTTGTGTTTCTTTCTTATTTTTTGGTATTTTGCGTTAAATATAAATTCAAGAGGCGAGCGCCCTCTACAGGCTGTTGTATTCTGTAGTTTCGTAGTTTGTCGTTTGTAACCTTCCGAGAATTTCGAACCGTAGATTTTATTCATTTCATGCAGGTAGATTGTACTCAATAGGTTGCCAACTATAATAGACAACTACAGGACGCAAGAGCATATAACTGTTGAAACGACATATCGCCATCATCATCATCATCGTCATCATCATCATCATCATCATCATCAGTTCCTCGACTTTACAATCGTCAGATCTACTGGCGGTAGCTCTCGGGATTTGTGATGTCTATCCACTCTTTCACTGAAAGCATAGAAGGGTGCGAACGTTTCATGTTCCAATAGTTGCATCCTGCTTTGGTAACTTAATAGTGTTTCTAGACCCAGTCAACCAATTGTCACGTCCCATCTGTAGTGAGTCAATGGGACGGGTGCCTGTTGTTGATTCGGGTTTCGACCATTCCGCGATGGCATTGCTTTGCTTCTTCTTCCTCGGGATCCTTTCAGTGGATTCTCACATTGCCTGGCGGCACCCATCGCCTTGCCTAATATATACTTTTCTATAACAAATACGAGAAGCACTAAAGTCAGAGTAAATAAATATATTTAGTTTTTGTCCGAATAACATCTATCTAATTCTTCACCTGACTAAAAAATAATTCCGCCCCAAATCTGTCAATGCCTTTCCAGTGTGTCATGAGATTACGTTGATTTCACTTGATTTTTTTTTTTAGATACCTGTAAAATATTTTCAGCGCCCTTTACTGAAAATTAGGGATATAATATGCAGAAAATAAAACTGATATTTCGCTGTAAACTTTTGCACACTAGTATAAAAGTAAGTGAAGTGAAAGAAGAGTACATTATCCTGATTATGGCTTTGAGCTGGGTCAGCCTGGTAAGAAAATTAGCATGTCTTATAGCTGGGTTTGAACTCCTATCTTTTTGCACCAAATAATTATTTAAGACCAAAATAGCTGATCGTTTTTTTTCTTCTATATTGGAATAACAATCGTTCCAAAATGTTTATTCTCCTACAGTGAGTACAATCCACGGTCGATGTTTCTAGAAATGTAAGTTTAGACAAAAGTTATTTTAGTTCTTCAAATCAAAAGTTACATTCATCGACAATCATGAACCTAATAATTTCTTCATTGACGCGGGCGAAGAAATATTAAAACAAAAACTCATTTCCAACCAAAGAATACGTTATATTCTCACGTTTCTATGAGAAGTTTTTCTCTAATTTGTTTTCTGTTTAATTTTCTTTGGTTCCCCTTTGCTGTATGGAATAAATTGAAGACACAAGAGTTGTCAGGCAAAACAATCACGAAGAAACCGATTTTTAAATTAACAACAATTAGTGGCTTTTGTCTTGAGAACATGATTTAAATATCTCATGTAAAAATAACTCAGAGAATGCACACATATTTCTATAATTAAAATTAATTGAATTCAACTTTAATAAAATTAATAAAATATCTTCATTTAAAATTAATTTGTTAAGAATGTATTTTTAACAAATTGTTGAAAGACTGAGTTGTGTATCATTCATCAATATTTAAACAAATCATTGGCTTCGATTAAATAATAGCACCCGCCTAAGAAAGCTGAGGTATGTTACCCTTTAAATTCAGTATATTCACGTACATTTACAGAAGAATAGGACATCGTTATCTATGGTAGATAGCTTTCAAATATATGTTAAAATCCAAAATTACCAACTTCGATGCAAATAAGCAGATTTTAGGTAGAAGGTTCCTGAGTGGAGCATATTTAAACCAGGGAATATGAAGGGATTCATGGAGACACATAAATGTGAATGGAGATAGGCCTGTTTAAGATGTAATGTTCTAAGCCGGAGATATTAAAGAATGGAGATGGTATGAATATTTCCCATGAAATTAGTGAGGGATTAACAATCGGTCTGTGGATTTTAGGGTACAAGATTTCATCACCTACAAGGCAGCGTAAACGAATTTGAAATATATTAATGCATGAAAATGAAGTGAGGAACAAATGCAAACATTAAATTAGAATATGGCTATGATAAATATAATTATCAATAATAATTCTTCTATGATTAAATTTGGATTCGACCTGCAGATTAATTTTTATCTCCTTGGACAGTGACAAATATATAAGTGAATCCTCATAGAATGTTTAACTTATTTTATTAGACATTCAATTACATCACTAAGCATCCTTTAGAATTTACCTTGATTTCTGTTCGTCTGATGTATTTTTATGAGCTTTCTTAAATTCAAATATCAATTATTTTACAAAGTCTGAGTGAGAACATTACATTTTTGCTCTGGATTGGCTTCCAAAATTTAGAGAAAAGTCGTAAAATAACTCCAAATAGATTGTAATCGTTAACTGTCAATAGTAAAGAAAACCTGTCCAATAATTTTGTGGGTATCGTTTATCAAACAGATGAAGAAAATGAAGAATAATACCTCCTATGATGTAGAGATATCTCTAGAATAGACGTTGTCAGGTCAACAGATGGTAAATCGACAACCATTCGCTGTGGCGTTCTGCTTTTATATCAGTTCCTCATTTACATACAATACTAACCGAAATGACCTAATGCACACCGTTGATCTTTGACTTCTAATTATTCTTAGGAATCTAAATTGTCTTCTTTTAGTATCTTCATTTCTTCTTATAGGTGGACCTAGTTCTGAGTTCAGTTTCCTCTTCCGCATTCCCGTCAATGTCGTGGCCATTATCCTCCCAGGATTGTTCAGTTTTAATACAGGATTCATTAGTCTCCTCCTCCTTCCTTTCAAATTCTTCAGCTTCAGATTCTTCGTCCATTTCTATATCCTCGAGTTACATTCAGCTCCTGAATTGATCCGCATGGATGAGCACATTTTTGTCCATTTTTCGTTAGTATAGCGATCTTGTTTCTTCTTTGTATTATAATGTTAACTTTCTCTGGATTAAATTCTTTGTATTTTTTATACCATGTCGAGCTCTTTCTTTTCTCTAAGTATTAGACGGTTGATACGATGACTAAATTAATTCTGGATATGATGTACGAGCATAAATAACAATACTTATCTGTTCAATAATCAACAGGCAAGAATTGGATTAAATCTAAAGTTCAAAATAAATATCTAATATGAATGCAGATAACGTACATATCTTCGAATTCAGCTTTGAAAAAGAATGGTAAATGCTATTATATATTATTTGTTGCTTTTATGAAATATAATAGTTTATATATAATTTCGGCTAAGAAAATTTGATAGTACATCTTATCTGAAAATTTATGTGTTGCCATTAAAAAAAAACTGTTCAAATTATTACTATAATTTCAGGAGATTATTAAAAGAGAGAGAACAAAATATCTTGGGAGTGGCGTTATCAAAACCTGCTAAAATATAAATCTATGACACGGATTTTATCAAATATCACGTTTATTGAAGGAAATACTCCTTTCCCAAGGCAACATCCATTGCTATAAAAACATTCAAAAAATCAAAAGAGAACGATTAAATTAAAAACTTTCTATGATTTAAAATATGCAATAGATGAATCAATCTCAAACTAAAATAATATAAGTAATAATTACAGCTTAAAAAATATCAACAACATTTACTCAATTTTATTAGACATTCAACTACATCACTTAGCATCTTTTTAGAATTTACCTTGATTTTCTGTTAGTCTGATGTATTTTTATGAGTGTTCTTAAATTCAAATATTTTGTAAAAATAATGATATATATATATATATATATATATATATATATATATATATATATATATATATATATATATATATATATACTATTTACATTATTCGGACTATTGTCCTCATCTTTGTCGCCATGTTTATCACAACGAACGTTTCGGCCGTTGTACCTCCAACCTTCTTCAGGTGGTTGGAATGTCGAACTGAACCATTTATTTCGCTCATTGGGGTCGACTGTTCTAGTTCTACGTGCCATGTCTAATGGATGTCAGTTATCTCCTGTTAAATCCCCCACTGAAAGTTCTCCACTGCCTTAACCGGGTATTGAACTCACACTCTTTGGGTCCTGTCAATACCTGTTCAAGGCAGTGGAGAACATACACACTTACACGCATCATGCTCACTCACTCCCTAATGAACCAAATGAGAACACACGCCCACAGCAATATACACGCTTACCTATATCATACTCACTCACCCCCTAACAACCAAATAACACACACACACACACACACACTTAACAGAGACACATCGCCTCTCCAGGAACCAATAAAACTATCAAACTGACCAGGGGAGATCAGAGCAGCATGGATTCATCCAGCTCTTATCTCAAATAACAACTTAAAAGAGACTGTTTGACCAACACAAGGAATGTTAAAAGATTCATGTTAAAACGATAAAAAAATAAAAATACAAAGGAGAACTACAGACAAAAATTCATTTTCTCCAGCAAGACATTCATTTCTGTAGTTTACTGCTACCAGCAAGCAGAAATATTTCTCCTCCCGATGATGGCCATTTTGGCCGAAACTAGTCGAGGAATCTAAATGAAATAATAATAAAAAAACGAAAGAATATTAATCCATCTACAACCCAGTGTCTGAAGATTTTAATTTTTTAATATTTTTTTATTGTTCAATATATATATATATATATATATATATATATATATATATATATATATATAAATATAATATATATTGTATTATGTTTATTTTTAATGATGAATTTTACGAATAATCCTTCTCAGACAAAGAGAATATAGCGTTAGAAATTATACGAATTTCATTTCTGACGAAAAATAATATATAGTTTACATTTTCGATTAAGTGATCATCAAAGTAGTTACAGGCAATTGATGAGTTTCGTAGAACTGGTACATTAATCAGGAGCATAATGATTATAGTAACATCAGGCATCTACTAAGAAACAATACCAAAATACTTTCACGTGTCATGAAGGAGGCCGGAGTGTACAACGGCCGAAACGTTGTAATAAATATGGCGACAAAGATGAGGACAATAGTCCGAATAATGTAAATAGTATACATAATACCTCATCTCAAAAATATAGACAGATACTGAGATAGATATATATGAACAAGACCAGTCGATAGGCAATGAATAGAACTTGATAGATAGATAACGAAGACAAGGAGATAAATAGATAGACAGATAGATAGGGAGACAGATGTTAGCGCATATATATATATATATATATATATATATATATATATATATATATATATATATATATATATTATCAGTAGTAGTACTAATAATCCTCTAAGTATAAGAAATTATACTGTTCGAAAACCTTCGGTGTCTTGATTTGCGAATAATCAAACCAATACCAAAGTGAAAAAAAGGTATAAAAAAAAGAAAGTACCAAGAACATGTACGTTAGCCGAAAATAATCGTCCAGCATGCAATCCCCCCCCAAAAAAAAGAAGCTTTCCCTGACGATCCGTTTAGGTGAAATTTGGTAGGTTTGTCTGGCTCTTTAGGTTTAACTATCTATCTATCTATCTATCTATCTATCTATATTAGGGTAGGTCGATTTTGGAACTATAAAAAGAATAACTCGAGGAAAGTTGCAAAATAACGTCAAAATTACCACCAAAAAATATTTTTCTTCAAAACTTCGTATTTATTTGAGATAATCGAACTTAAAGACAAAATAAATTGCGAATTTTTTCATCATAACGGTGTCACCGGAGACATGTGTATGTTAAATAAAAAACCAAGTCTTAACAAAAAGAAAAAAGAAAATAAGGCTTAATAATGGATATTTTTGAGTTTATTATATATTCTCTTATTAAATTAAATGAAATTACTACAAATAAAAAATAAAACACACTAAAATATTTAGTTTAAAATACAAATAACTACTCATGAACGGCGTCGTTTTTACTGGATATTTTTTCGGTATTTACCGGTAGTAATTACCTCCTCTTTTATGTTCGTTTTATTTTTGTTTACGCTTTTAACTAGCGCAAATATCTATTTTATTTTTCATCAAAATATACTTAACTATTTAAAAAAAATACAAGTTTTATAATTATTGTAATTTGTTTATATTTTGAAAATTAATGTTGGCCTGTTTACAAGATAATCCCGGAACTCTACTTTTATATAAACATTACTTTTTTAATTTATGCCTTTCAAGCTTTATTTTCCAATTTATTTTGAAAAATATTTTTGTATAATTTCTGATAATATATATATTTTCTTTGTCAGATATTTTAATAAAAATGGCAGGAAAAACATCCCAAAGGGTTTAACATACCGTGAAATTTTGATAAGGTTATATAGCGGCTAGCCTTATCAAAATTCCACGGTATGCTGTTGAGTTGATCAGGGGTGATGTATCTTACAATCTTGGAGCCAGCCTTGCCAATGCAATGCTCTTGGATTTGAGGGCTATGGGCTTTCTCATCCCCCAATATTAATATAAAAGATATTTATATAGATAAATGTAAAATTGATAGAGCAAAGGTTAAAAAGTGAAAAAAGTGATGTTTTACATGAATTCAACAGTGTGAGCACTATCAAGGCTATCCTTGTTGACAAACACTAATGCCAATTCAGGCTGTGAAGGTGGATTTGCTGCACCTCTAGAAAGAAAACTTAACAGAAATCTTCATACTATTGGTTGCTCCTTGCACCAAAAATAAACTTCCATTTAGAGCTCTTTTAAACATGTAGATGGTACCACAAAATAGCCCTGCCACATTCAATGGTCCACTTGGAAGATTACGTGCAAATGATTACCATAATTTACCCCAAATATCATTTTTTAGCTGTTGGCAGTCCTCTGGATTTTAAAATTAAAATTACCCTTTAGTTGTGACCAAAGACTCCTTTATGAATATACAGTGGGTATTTCCAGAGGTAAGGTGGACTTTAGATTTGCATCATGGAAAATTGGTCGATTAAACCAGTCAAGGTGGTTAACTTTAGCATCAGTCTGATGTGCTTATGGAATCATGGTGCATACCCACGAAATATTTCAACCAAACTCCACAGTTTATTAAATTTTATTGTGAATGTATGCCATTTGCCAGTTCCAAAATAAAAGAAATAACAAGTTCCACAATCAGCAAATGTATATTTTCAATATGATCCAAAGGATTAGGGAAGCAACCATATGAAATCCAACAGATCACATTGAAAAATATACAATACAATGCTTTCGCCTTACTGCCTGAAAATATCTTATATTCAATGGTCAAATCTGATGAACGGGAAGTGAGGGAAGAAGCTATAAAATAATTTTGGCCATTAGGTTAGTAAATATTTATTCATATAAAATTGACTAAATTAGTTATACCGATTTATGGAATCATTTTAAGGACTTTATCTAATTTCACCATAAATATTAAAGCAGTACAGAGTGCAATTTTTTAAAAAATAAATCAAATTAATTTTTATATTCTTTCAAGAGGGGGAACAAACCAAGAAAAAATTAAAAAGAATCACAACTATCAATTTTAAAGCTATGCACTGGACACATTTAAAAGATCTGTCATTAAGTGGAGTTTGTGAACCACCACTCACAGAAGAATTTTCTGAAAGTGAACTTTGGGTATAATTATTAAATGGTACGAAGCTTGACTTGCCAGATTTGCCCTCACATTCTCAAGGCATGGAACGGGCAGTCAAGTTAACAACAGAAGCTTCCCAGTCTGTGTATGGCTTTGAAACAAGGCACCAACACATAATATCAAAAGCTTTGTGTCAGAAATTGTGACCATCAATTTCATCTGACGGTTCTTATATGGATCTATTTGACTCTGTATATTAAGCCCTATTAAAGTATTCTTTATTTTTTCATATTTGTTTGTTTGTTGTATTTTCATTCAAACTAGAAAAAATCAATTTTTAATGTATTTAACTAATACTGCTTAATTCATGAGTAAAAAAAACAGCATTTCAAAATCATCAGTGATAGGGAGGGGCAAATTTTCAATTTGAAGTTTATTTATAATTTCTACATTTTATTTCATTTTGCTAAAACAAAATAACAACATTCCCTGATTTAAATAGTGAAATTGTTTGTTTTTTATCAATATTTAGTCTAAATCTTGCAAAATCGTGGATTTTTCAGTGCTTTTTTTCTACGATCTTTGATGCCAAATGCTCAAAAAAACCGTTGAAGTGACAAATCTAAGTTTTTGTATCAGTACTTAACTGGACTATACACAACTTTCCGTACATTATTCTTTTTGATATTTAAAAAAAAGACAAAAATCGACCTACCTAATAATATATATATATATATATATATATATATATATATATATATAGAGAGAGAGAGAGAGAGAGGAAAAGGTATGAATCCATATCTTATCTCCCGAGCTATGGGTAAATAGCAGGACAGAATGGGTCCTATAACCTTGAGTGGCAAACAGTGTAGACGGATAGCCCTAAATTCAAAAACCTGCGAAGGGCCGTTTGTAGACCTTGTAACATACTTTGCGTCACTTCTCTGTATTCGGCTCAGCCAAAAAAGTGTGTTTGGTTTTGCACAAGCCTTCACCAATCTAATCACATGATATATGTGGATAGTCTGTTTGATGGTTTTAAGAACTGAGCTGCTTGACCATCATATGGAAAAGTAGAATACAATATATATATATCATATATATGGAAATATTTATGTGTGTGTATATAAAGAGTGGACACTCATGGCAACACTGAGTAACAATACTCTATTTGATGCTTGACCGCAGTCTATCTATCTATCTATCTATCTATCTATCTATCTATCTATCTATCTATGTGTTTGTGTGTGTTTGTGTGAGTGTTAGTGTGTGTGTGTGTGTGTGTGTGTGTGTGTGCGTGTGTGTGTGCGTGCATGAGGACATGCCTGTATTCAATTCATGCATGTTTGGTTTAAAATCGACAGAGGTATCAGATGTTTCCTGACCATTCACGGCTTTTATTAACAACTAGCAGTAGAGCCCGGCGTTGCCCGGGGATATAACAGTAAGTATCATGAAGACTGAAAAATAAAATTGACAAAGATTATTGTTTAAGGTTGACGGACACGCATGTCCTAATTAGTTTTTTGTTTTTTTACGAATTGGTAAAATCCAAACTCAAACAAAAACATTGTTTTCAATCGTTATGAGTCTCTACCGATTGAATAGAATTTTATTATAAATAATTCTCTTGTAAATGGAATTTTATAGCATTCTGAATGTAAAAATAAAGAAAAAAATGTGCAAGACAATAAGAAACACTACATGCCAAAAAAAGTGAAGTTTTGTTGAAATCGGTTGAAAAAAATGTAGGTAGCCTTTTTGTAATCTTTTAGTTTTAAATTTATGATTTTTACTTATTGAATACAGTAATAAAAATTGCATATTTTGCTTGTGGTGATTCATAATTAGAATTCTGATTTGAATATGATTTCCACTTGTTGTTTCTAATACAAAAAATATTAATTTTATTTGGGTTTATTAATTATGATCTAACAAATCTTATTCATTTAGTAGCCTTCTCTGTAATATATAATAATCTTTTACATTTTATGATTTTTACTTATTGAATACAGTAAAAAAATTGGACACCATGTGTATTTAAAGTAGTTTCCCGTTCAAGTTATTATTTTTAGTTAGGACTTGTGTATGTTTAGATTTCATTATCTTTCCCTAAAGATAAAGAATTTATGTTTGTATTCGTACAATCAGTAGAGATCGTTAGATTATTGTTTAAGGTTGACGGACACGCATGTTTTAATTATTTTTTTTTTTATTTTTATTTATTACGAATTGGTCAAACCCAAACTCAAACAAAAACATTGTTTTCAATCGTTATGAGTCTCTCGATTGAATAGAATTTTATTATAAATAATTGTCTTGTAAATGGAATTTTTAAAGCATTCTGAATGTTAAAAATAAAGAAAAAGTGTGCAAGAGAATAAGAAACACTACCTGCCAAAAAAAAAAGTGAAGTCTTCTTTTATCGGCTTAAAAATATAGGAAATCCGCTCCCATATTTAAAGTAACCCACACACACACAAACAAACCGATGTGAGTTGTCCCCCTTCCATTTTCACGATGTCTCTTAATCGTGTTTTCAAATTGATTTTGTGCAAAAACAATTATATTTTTCCCATTTTTGGCGCTGTTAGAACCACCACAAGGTAATTGTATGTAGTCCTGTGAAGTTTTGTTGAAATCGGTTGAAAAATGTAGGAAATCCGATCCAATATATAAACGTTACAGGCACACACACACACACACACAATCTGCGTTTTATAATAAGTAAGATTTCATTGTTTCTCTTTCTTTGCTGGAATGAAAATGTTAGCACCGCGTCTTCACGCTTAATTGTATCATATCGGGTTTTTATTTTTATTTTCATGTATAGGATCATCTTTTCTTCAATTCTTTTATATATTCTTTCTTCTTTTCTATTGTAATTGTGATATATGATTTAGTACGTCTTTTCTAAATAGAACAAATTTTTATTGATATTAAGTTGTTTGTGGTCTTAACGCTTCTGATAATTTAAGTTATTGCTAAAGCTTATGGGCCTTATTATTATATTTTATAACGATGAAGATTTACATAATTTCTCGTGTTTTATTGTTACATGGATTGTTGATACGCCAATTAATTGAGATATCACTGGATAAGTGGCTAGTTAAACATTGCTTTGGAAACACAGAAAAAAAACAAAAGACATTTTATTTTAAATCCTACAAACTCACAAAAAGTATTTGATACTGATGTATGTGAAACTGAAAGCGGGATATTCACAACTCATTGCAAAATTCGTTCAAAATCTTGAATAAACGGAATCATGATAGAACGATAGAAAATTACATAGAATTCATAACCACAGAAGTTACGTTGGCCTTCAACAACAACTGCATGAATGCATTCTCAAGCCCTCAATATATTATGCATATATATATATATATATATATATATATATATATATATATATATATATGAAATCAATATATATGAATTGGAATGTTGATGAAATACAAAACAAATAGGAAATGTTTATCAATATATGACGGGGATATATATTTTTATATATATATATAAATACTATATATATACGCATTATGTGTGGGTCATCGGATGGTGTCTTCGGCTAAATTTAACTGAAAGGTCAAATGTATTAGATCAAATATGAATTTGGGAAATGATTTGATAATTGAAATACCAAAAATCAATAAAAGTGAAAATGTTTATGATATGTTTTTAGTTTTCTTTATTTTATCAGATTTTACTATATTTATATATATAAAATGTTTGACGGGGATTTGACTATTGTCCTCAAACACAACGCGTTTCGGCACAATGAGAGAAACTCTGGTATTTTCCCATGTTTGTTTGATTTTCTCTCCTGATTAATTCTCACCGCCTTTAACCTGGGACCTTCTTTGGGTCTGGTCACGCCTTTATCAGTCTTTGCCGTGCATTAGAACAGTTTTTACTAATGTTTATGGACCGCATCTTTTTTACAGATTCATATGCATGTAAGTTTGTTCATATTGGGGCTTTGAAGATTCTTGTATTCCTTTTCTATGCCTTAAGTTAATCTATTTTGCTGATTTTTTGTAAGCATATCGATTCCTCCAAGTTTACGAATTTTGGATGGTGTTTACATCTAATGTGTCTTCCTAATTTAACTGCACAGGGCCTGTCTCTCCTTTATATTCTTTTCATCAGGAATGGGATAAGACATTAGAACTTGTATCCTGATGATGAGTCCTTTTTGTACCGTAACACATAAGGCAGGCACAATTCCATGTTTTCGCCATTGCTGAATGGTGATAAAGGGTAGTTGTTGCGTTAGGCCCACTTATTACAATAACGGGAAATGATGTTTAACTGATAATTGAAAATGAAGACCAACGATTTTTTTGTCTTTTTGTCTGTTTTCTGTCAATCATTGATGAAACTTTTATATGAAAGTGTCATCTGAAAATGTTAGAATGATATGTTTCCTATTTCGCCATTTTTATGGCGAGCCCATTGCACATATATAAATACTATATATATATATATATATATATATATATATATATATATATATATATATATATCCACGAACATGAGCGGAGTTTCGGACATATGAAGAGACTTTAGATATGGGATCACCAAAAAAGAAACAACAGTAAGATATATAATCCGGTGTTCTTATTGGATATATTGGTTTTCATCAAAACAATCTGGACCATAGGAACTTCAAAAGTGAACCTTCGATACAGTTCAAATTTAAAGAGTAACAAAAATATTATCGAACAGAAATTCACTGATTTAAATATGGTTTTGCTTACCACATATCGAGCAAAGAAGTGGCGATCCAGCCCCTGTGGGATCATGGATTACCATGGTTCGGCAGAATCCCCCAAAACTGGAAACAAAAAAAGGAAAAAATCCAGAGAAATACAAAGATCTGGTGGTCCATATAACATCAGGAAACCTAAGAATCTACCTTCAAATTTAATTATAATTAAATTAAAGTTTCAAAAGTTTCTGCCTGCCTTATGTGGGAAATAAGGTAGAACACCATTGGAAAATTTGAGCACATTTCAAAAATTCATAGCTTCAGAAGATGAAACAGAACAGTTATATGAACTCTGGTAAAGACATTTAACAGCAAAAATTTTAGCACTGGTAAAAATGTGAAAAACATTATTTAAATTCAAGTTATACCCAGATTTAGGACACTGGACAGTGGATAAAGGCGTTTTTCAGTGACGCCCCAAAAATGAGTTCAATTCCAGTGGAGAACTTTGAAAATTAGCAGGGAGAAGACATCCATCAAATATTTTAGAAATACCCCAGTCGAAATAAAGGGTTCAGTTCGAAATTCCAACCAGTCCACACAACGAAACACACGACAAAGATGAGGACAGGTCCGACCAATGTAAATACTATATATATATATATATATATTCTAATAAAAGAAAAACAGTAAGATATATAACTTATTGATATATTGGTTTTTACAAAACAGTGCTCAGTGTAAATTTACAGAGCATAGAGGCGACAGTTATTACCATGTTTCGAAACTAAGAATTCAAATTTAATTATATAATTAAATTAAAGTTTCGTCGAATTTTGGTTTCAAAATTCCTTTGAGAATGAAACAGAACTAATGATTTTAATTTTTTATATTTAAATTTAGTTTTAGCTTCGGATTTTTTCAAACATGTTAATTCCTGTGTAGGTGGAGAATATTTTAAATCAGTTAATTTTATAACACACACACACACACACACTCGAATAATGCGACAGTGTGTTTATCAATCGCCACTTTTATAATTTATATTTACACACATCTTAAGAGTTTATATTAGCACATCTTCTATATTTCTTCATATATATATATATATATATGTGTGTGTGTGTGTGTGTGTGTGTGTGTGTGTGTTTGTGTGTGTTTGTGTGTGTGTTTTCATGCGTATGTTTGTGTGTGTGTTTGCATGCGTATGTTTGTGTGCGTGTTTTGTGCGTGTGTACATCAGTGTGTATTTTTACGAATTTGTATATCTTATTGATTGCTTCAAAGATAGGACTGAAGAGGTTCGCAAGTTTTCGATTCGACGCACACATAGTTTTCAAATTGCAATAGCAGCCCACGCGGATGCTTTGAATTTATAAGCGCTTTTGGTATGCCTGCATTCCAACTTACTTTCTTCCTCTTTCATTTTACTTGATGTTATTGTTTCAGTGTGGCCCTCTTTAATTTTTTCGACTCCTTTTTGTTCATGTTTCTACTTTGGCTGCAAATTTTTCATTTTGTCTTCTTTCCGTCCCTCATTTTATCATGATTATTATTGTGTTTTAGTTTCTAGTTTTTCCTCTAAAGGCAAAACTCTATTCATTACCTTCAGTAGAGAATCAAAAGGAACGGCAAGTAATGCTTAGTCAATTTGTCTTTTGGCTATTTGTGGTTCTGAAAAAATTTTCAAAAATGCCTACTGCCTCCTAAAAGCGTTGGGATGAAGTAAATGAGAATACTGAAGGGTGTGGAACGTGGGGATGAGCACCTTTTTTTTTCTTTTTTTTTTACAGGGGTGGTTATGGATGCATATAATAAAACAGCTGTGTGAGGGGATAACTATGCTATTTTAAAACTAGCAATGTTTCTCTTTGTTAATTTCGCTCATGCATTTGCTTTTCTTACTTTTTATGATTGCACTCCTCGCAACGCATTATGTGCATATTAAACTTAGTTCTTGTTTCTTAACAGAAGATGTAGATTTTACAAGTATTAAGCAACCAAATTAGAATTTCTGTGTTTCTGTCAAATTTTACTCTGTAAAGGCACAAAATGAACGCGCCGTTTGTTTACACTTACCTGATTGTTTTTATCAATATAAATGTTATGAAGAATGGAGGGTCATTTCGTTTTAGGCCATGATCGACTGGACAATTCTAACAGCCAAACAGCAAAATCTTTCAAACAAGTTTCTTGGTTGGGATCTGATGTTTCTAATCCACCTCGTGTTAAATAACGATAACAATTTATTTTTTCACCAAAAGCTGGTGTAAAATACATCCAGATATGAAATCAGATCTCTTAAATAGTAGATGTAATTTTTACGAATTTCAGAGTAGATACAGGTGCGTATTTATCTTGTAGTAACATTAGACGTAAACAAATATAGTTTAAGAAATCGCATTTCAAATATACACACGCACAAAAAAAAACACGTCACACCCGGCCTACATGAAAACACTCACTAGTTCTATGAAACTCAACATTTGTCTATAACTACACTAATGATCCCTTATGCAAATCGAGGTCTTATTTCTTGTACCTTTCTTCCAAAGTGTGCATCTGATGGAATTTCCAACTTGTCTGAGAAAAGTCAATAATTAAAATGAATACACAAACTTTCTATTTGACTTGAAGAACATTTGATGCGCACATACAGATATATATATATATATATATATATATATATATATATATATATATATATATATATATATATATATATATATATATACGTGTTCTTAAGTCAAATATATCACGATAGACTACATCTGACAGAAAGGACTGTGATCAGGAGGTTTTGTGAAGCGTTGGCCCAACTTTTAATTGCTGATGTTCCCAGCTATGGGCAAATAGTTAATCCTTGCAAAATAGAGTCAAAACAATATGAAAGTGTAAAAATAGATTTTAATACCTGTATAAAATCTGCAAATCAAAATTAAAAAAACAAAAAAAAACAGGTGGAAATTAAAAACAGGAATAGTACCAGTCATAGTAGAACTGGAATCACAAAACAAGAAACAGAACAGCACATGGAATAAATCCGTGGAAATCCGAGGTAGTGTGACCATAGCAGAAATAGAACGATGATGATGATGATGGTGATGGTGATGGCGATGATTATGGTGATGATGGTGGTGATGATGATGAGGAGGAGGGGGAGGAGGAGGGTGATGATGATGATGATGATGGTGGTGGTGGTG